GTGCTGCAACAAGATGATGGCGATGGCCTGCGGCCACTCGAGTACTACAGCAAACGAATGCCCAGCGTAAAGGTAGCCACTTCCACCTACATGCGCGAGCTCTACGCTCTGCGCATGGCGTTGGATCACTGGAAACATTACCTGTTGGGACGCCACTTCAAAGTGTTCTCAGATCATGAGACCTTGAAGTGGATCAAAATGCAGACTACTCTGTCCCCTACCTTGCTTCGCTGGTTTCACGAGATTGACATCTTTGATTTTGAATTGAGACACAAAAAGGGTTGTTACAATCGAGTCGCTGACGCATTGTCTCGCCACCCTGAGTACATGACTTGCCTGGTGAAATCCTACGACCTCCGGAAGAAACTGAAGGAGGAGCTCGTGAGCAGACAACCAAGGATCCGGAACCTAGTTCCATCCTTGAGCAGCTGCGGGCTGATCCTAGTAGTCAGCCTGATTTCCACGAGTATGGAGGACTGATTTTTTGCCGATACGGGAACCATGATCGTTTGTGTACCCAACCATGAGCCTCTCCCCCCACACCTCCTGGACTTGGCTCATGGCCGAAGTGGGCACTTCAGCATGGCAAAAACATACGCTAACCTGCTGAGACAGTTTGATTGGTCTGGCATGAAAGGGACTGCTGAGAAATTTATAGCTGAATGTGAAGTCTGTCAACGAATCAAACCATCTAGGCAAAAGCCCATGGGGCTACTCACACCCCTACCCATTCCTGATGGTCCCGGGGAATCTGTCTCCATCGATTTCACGGACATGGGTAAGGTAAGCAAGAATGGGTTTTCACAAGTCATGGTGATTGTTGACCGATTCTCAAAGTTTCTTAATCTGATCCCTCTACCGCCTCACGCCCCAACAGATCTAGTGATTCGCGAATTCCAGCAGAAATACCTGCTGCAATTTGGAACCCCGAAGACTCTTGTGAGCGATCGGGACCCACGGTTCATTAGCGCTGAATGGAAGGAGTTCACGCCCCACCTAGGAATCAAACTGTGCATGACATCTGGCCGACACCCCGAAGCCAACGGTTTGGCTGAGGAGATCAACCAGATTGTATTCCAACTACTCCGTGCTTTGATCATTCCTGATCAGGAAACATGGGATGAGGAGCTGTATTCTGTCAAGGGGTTGTATAACAACTCCGTTCACTCTGCCACCGCCACGACGCGCTATAGGCTGCACTACGGGTGGCAGATCCGCAATCCGCTCTCCTACTTGTTCCCTGAGCAGCCGGCTGGTTTGACACCCGGCAGGCCCGGCTTCAGGGCTAAGTATGATCACTTGCTCAAAGTTGTTGTGGCAGCTATGACCAAGTGACAGCATGCCATGATTCATCATGCGAACAAGAAGCGCAAACCATCGGAGATTCAGGTAGGAAGTTATGTCTGGGTAAAGATGTCTGAATTCTCAGAGGAGGAGGGAGTCTCACGCAAACTCCTCCTACTCTACTACGGGCCTTGGGAAGTCTTGGATGTAATCGGGGAAGATCATTTCGGCCCTTCGTACGTTGTGGACGTGCCTGCTCACCTGCGCACATATCCCGTGTTTCATGCATCTAAACTGAATCTCCATCGTGAAGCCGAGACATTCGATTATCGCGAAGATATGATCCCTCGCGCAATCAAGAGCAGGCATGAGATAGATAGAATCAAACAGCATGTAGGTAAAGGGAGATACAGACAGTACCAGGTTTATTTCATGTATCACCCGTTAGATGATCTCTACTGGATCTCCAAACAGGAACTGCTACGCAGCGCACCGCGTGTTGTCAAAGCTTACGAGCGACAGATCGCCGCTAACACCACACCAAAGATCTCAGCAAGGCTCTCTGCAACAGAGTATTCGAGGAATCTCTTTGCCTTGCTCGCTTACGATGCGTTTGCCGAGGACTCCGAATGAGTTACTCGCTCGAAGGGACCTCGCTCTTGAGGGGGGGGTAGTGTGATAACCCGTCCAAACACGGACTGAAACACACAGCTGATATCTGAGTTTTGCTCATAGACTGAATGCCCTACTGAGTTCCCCGCCTGCTAAGTCTGTGTGTGTGTGTGCTTGCTGGACTGCATGTCTGTCTGAGT